CCCCAAGAGTATTAGTGCAAAAGGGAAATGTAATGAACTCAACCAGAATTTGAACTCAGCTTGCTGATTTCTCAATACAATCTGCTATTATATCACATATACATCCTAATAACATACAACAACAGAATAATTATACAGAAAATTGTATATCGTTCATTAAAAGGCAAAGTAATTGCATATATATTATAATATTATAGAGTAATTGTATATATTGTTTATTATAATTGTATATTATTTATTATATGGTGAGTTGTATATTATGTTATATATTAGATTATAAAGTAGTTTATTAGATAGGGAAGTAATTATTACTCATATATCTATCTTATATATTATTATATATTATTTTTGTTAACACATTTTAGCAGACAAAGACTTTAGGAAGACAAAGTATAACAATAGTGAAAACATTATAACAAAATAAATAGTTCCCCCAAAATAAGCAACCCAATGAGTTGAACATGTCTAAAAACATTCAGACAGAAATTATCTGTTACTCTAATTTAAATAGAAATATTTAGTTTCTTCTATTACCTTCTTCTTTTTTTTTACTTATTTCCCATTTTTCTATATTTAGAGGTTGGGTGGTGTATAATGTACAAGTATGCACACACACACACACACACACACACACACACACATACATATATATATATATATATATATATATATATGGTAGAGTGTTCTGTACCAGAGTTCAGAAATTTTGTTTTCTAGTTTGTATATATTTTATACCTTGCGTATCTTTTATATCATTACAAGATCAGCCTGTCTGCTCGAGTGAAACAAATATGTTGGTAATAGCAGTGTGTGGAAGGTTAAAAAAATTTTAATGCCAGTAATAAACAGTGATTTACAAAAATAAGCTCACCTCCCCGGCCAGAAATGAAAAGGAAAAGGATGAAAAAAAAAAAAAAAATGGAGTAAAAGAAATTTAAAAGAAAAAGAAAACTTAGTCGGTGCAAATTTTTGCAAGGTTATCCAAAAATATTGTGACCATACATGCACATATACACACATTCTGCATCTCTCTCTCTCTCTCTCTATATATATATATATATATATATATATATATATATATATATATATATATATATATATATATATATATATATATATATATATATATATATATATATATATATAGAGAGAGAGAGATAGAGAGAGAGAAATATAGTTGGGAAAATAAATATTCAGGAGTACAGAAAAACCAGTTTATTTCATTATTTACCATACACATAGTAGTTACCTCAAAATTGCACATGTAGGTTTTAACTTTACAGTTGTGATTCTGGACAAAAATTTCAGCACATAAATTTATGGGAAATTATGAAAGATATAGTTTAAAAAAGATGAAGGAAAAAGCATTCAATAGCCAATATAAACTGAAACAGGTCCTAATACTTTGTTTAAGCTTCCGTTTGCAAGGCCAGCCTCCACTCACTTCCTGTAAGTTGCCATTAGCTTTATACACTCATCTACTCTAATCTAGACCACACTTCATGTCAGATTTTCTTTAATTTATTCAAATTATGAGTTTGATAAGCATGGGCACAATTTTTAATCAGGTTCAAGTCAGAAGTTTATTGATTTGCTTATTTTCAAATAACTGCTTCATTGTATATAATAATATATATATTATAATATTATATTATATAGGCAGTATGACTGGTATCATTGTCCTGATGAAGCACCTGATTATGCTTCACTTTTAAAGCCTTAACCAGAATGCTGTTGTTCAATATATCAGCACAAAGTTCCATTTATTCTTCTTTCATTTATGTAAAGTCATATTGTAACATGTGAGGAAAAACACAGCTCAATGCCTTGCTTCTGCTAAAGTTCACAAGACACAAGTAACTATGAATCTCTTAAGGAGCCATCCCTTAATGAGGGGCTTAGTGCTGGGCTGCCTCCTACAGGCTCCTGCTGAGTCCATAGACATTAAATGCAGGGTGCCTGTGCTTCCAGAAATGCAAATCATTGTGGGGTTGCTATCCCTCTCTGATTGTATTACTTTGGTTCCAGTCCTAATAAACAAATCTCGACCACCATCAACGCTCAGTGGGACACCAATTCTTGTCAACTGGGAGGCATTGCCTCTCCCCTGGGACTGTCCTGTTTGTTCACACGCTTTTGAGCATATGGCTAGTCTTTCTAGCCATATGCATCAGAATGCTTTTTTTTAACTTTGTACACTGGCACTACAAAATCATAAACAAAGAACTGTACCAAATAACAGGAACCACATCGCTTGAGGAGTTTCAACAGTAGCAACAACTAAAATGGATATCACATGTAACTCAAAGACAAAATAATGGCATAATCAAGATGTGGATGTTCCAAACTACTTCAAATAAAAGGTTAGGAAGAAAGTGCATATCAATACAGGAAAGTCTGAGAACAACTACTAGACTTGAGAAATTATTTTAAGAGAAAGATCTTATAAATTTCAACTGGCTGCTCGATCAATGAATGCTTGATGTTTCCTTATAAGGAAATGGCTAATATTGACATTACTATACTTTAGAGTTGAGATAGTGTTCTCTGGTTTGAATTCATTTTCTTCCAAACTTAACAGAAAATATGAAATATTCATATTAATATACACATATACAGGATGTGGGAGGTAAATTGTCATCATTATATATTTTTAATTTTGCACATACACATTATTTGATTTGATTTTTCTGGCACCACAGTATAGTAGTATAATGTCTGTGAGAAAAAGAGCACAATTATGCAATTCACTCCACCAGAAATTTGGAAACAGTATGCTGTACTGCTTGGCATTTGTGCTAGAAGCTCCAATATAAACATTTCAGTGTTTGGGTGTCAAGCTGAGGATAGTGTAGCCAATTCAGAAAGTGTTGGATGAGTCTAATAGTGTCAAAGGTATTTGAAGTCATCACTAGTAATGTCAACATTATGCTTCCATTTATCTTCTCACAAGGACTCAAAGTCAACATGGAGACCTACATCAAGTGCCTTAAAAAGGTAGTGCTGTCCTGGGTCGGGAGTGGCTGTTGGAAGACCCTATGTCTGGAAACAGGACTCTGCACCATGCCACACAAGCAGGAGAACCATATCATGATTGTCAGACAATTTCTGCAGCCACATAATTTCCCAGACTGCATACCACTTGATTATTATGTGTGGAGTAAAGTTGAATGAGAAGGCAAGGATCTATGGCAGCATTCACCAATTTAAACAAGGAGACTGTCCAGAAGAGTTGCAGGAGATTCAAAAGTTTACTGGAGGCCATAGTTGAAGCCAATTGATATTTTTGAATTAGAAGTCAGTGTTATTTTCATTTTTGTGTAATTTAGAGGACAATTCATCCTGTACATACACACACACACACACACACACACACACACACACTATATATATATATATATATATATATATATATATATATATTGTCATCCACAGACAGACTGTTTCGCTGTATCACAGCTCATCAGTGTGGCTAGACATCTGGTTGCCTCTAGCTAGGATTGAAACCCAGCTGAATTGGTGTCAGTTGGAGTTTCTACCCCTAAGCTGTTGGCACACGGCAGGGATGAAGGTGAATTTAAGCATATTTATTTTTAGATAAACACACGGTGACTGAGAGAACTCTATACACTTTACTAAATATATATGAAGAATGGTCTGAAAATAATTCCTTATATTTTTCTTCATGGAAACTACAACAGTTATAGGGGAACATTTTAACACTACTTGATAGAGAAAGTTTTCAGTTACAAAACATTATTTATCACATAATCTCTTCCATTGGCTATGCATTTTCACCAGTGCTTGCATGTCATTCTGAAAAAATCTACACCAGTAGAGTCAACACACTTTTTTTTTGCACACTTTTTTTGCACACATTAGTTACTGTCTGTGTTGACATCTACAGTTTGGTCTCCATAAATGTTCAGGATTTTAGAATCTATAAAACTCTGAGTAGAGATATGTAATAATGTTATCTATTATTATTATTATTATTATTATTATTAATGCTCTATCCCTCAATATTGAGTACTTTTATTACAAACATTGCTTAAAAATCATAATTTTCCTTAAATACCCTGGCGGACAGTTTTTCGGTGATATATGTTTGTTATATATATTTCACATTTCTTTACAGATCATTTATTATCACAATGTGGAAGACTTAATAATAAAAGTGATAAAACAAAAGGAAATTAAATGAAATTAATATATATATATATATATATATATATATATATATATATGCACCCACCCAGACACATCTAAAAAAGAAATTTAATTTAATGTTTAAAATTTCAGCATCCCAACATGTCTCAGTTGTGTCCCAATATCTGAGTCTCTGTGAATGACCTTCCATCCACTTGTTGATGTTAGCCATGCTTCTTGTCAATGGTGTCTTGCACTGTCATTTGTGATGCAGTCTATATAGGAGATGCTTAGGATGGTTCCAAGTATTAGAAATGAGATGCTACTGAACTATCCTACATAGGGAAACACTAATTGTTTATTTTCAAATCAATAAGTACTTACTTGGTTCAGAGAGAGGTAAATACTTGTCATTTATATCTGAGTCTGTCAACACTTGCTGCAGTGATAGGTAGCAATTGGTCATTTATATTTGAGTCTCTAAGCATTTACTTGGTTTGGCTATAGGTAATTATTGGTTTACATTTAAGTCTGTTAGCTTTTACTTGCTTCAGGCATAGGTAAATATTGACCCTTTTTATTTGAGTCTATAACATTTACTCGGTAAATATTGGTAATTTATATTTGAGTCTATAAGCATTTACTTGGTCGTTTATATTTGAGTCTGTAGGCCTTCACTTGGTAGGTAGGCATAATTTTGGTGGGACCTTAACTCTCTGCAAGGGATACAGTATATTCTAAGCCCCCTGTCAATATCAATATCTGTGTGAAGGGGTGGGGACCCTGTATATTTTATAAACACTTTCTTTACATCTCCATATCCATCTCCCATATATACACAGACTTATAGCCATGTCACATGGAAACTGGTTCCCATTTGATCACTAAAGTTAAACAATGTCGAGCCTGGTCAGTACCTTGATGGGTGACTACTTGGGAATACCAGGTGCTGTGAGCTTGAATCTATGGGTGGTATGATAGATAATAGCACATAATTGTTAATCATGGAGCCAAGTTCCAATTTCAGTTGGGTTTGTTATATTCACTTATGCTCAAATACCCTTGAGAAAGGTATGAAGCCACTTCTTCTCCCCTAAGCTATGGGTTAATTAGTAAGACTGGTATCACTAAATCCTTATTATGTTCAAGAAAATAAATTCTTACACTCTAAAAATATCTCTGGCTCAAATAATAAGCAAAGTAATTGATAAGTTATAGGAATCATTTCAATCAAGCATATATACGCAAATACATTCCTGTTACATCTGTTGCATAGCCCCCTCAATCTGGGGTCGCTTTATCACTGTTTCAATTAATACAGTGTTGTATAGCCCCTACTTCTGGGGTTGATCATAACCTTCTTCTTTCTTGGCTATTGATCATCAGTTGTTTTGTTCAGAGATAAAAAAGAACTTCAACAAAAGGGATTTTAAATCTTACTAGTTTATTAACCACATCGATGAGTACATCTTCTGTCAAGTGGGGGTTACTACACCCCCTATTTGGGAGCTGCTTGTAAACACAAAAATCTCACATGTCCATTTCCTTTGATGTGTAACAACCAACTCTTGAAAGACCCTTCCTCACTGGTGGGGAGGAGGTTTGCTTAAACACAATGTAACCCATTAACAAGTTAGCTTGATATCTGAACAGCAACTCCCTAAAACCTTAATCTATAACTCATTCCCACATTTGGTCCAGCCAATGAAAATTGACATCCCTATTTTGTCTACCATCTGACCTTAAAGGTCAGCCTCAAAAGGTCTGAGCCAAAATGCACTGCCACTTTAAAAATAATAGTCTGAAACTATTATTTAACATTCCTTACCCAATGATCAAAAAAATTACTTAATAAGTTTTATTTCAACTATATTTTATTTAACACATCCACTTATCTTCTTCCCTGATATTCACATATCAATTAGAAAATATGCAAGTAGGAATCTATAAAAATATTTAATAAATAAATCATGAAGAAAAAACAGAATTAACTGAACTAAATGCCCTTTGCTTATTTGCATCAAAGATAAATGCTTCAGCCTGGGTAAAAGTTAAGATTGTGAATGCTGTTTTATGAGGCAATCAAGTAGGTTCTTGCCACTTAAAAGATTAATGTTCAACCAATATAAGGCCCAAGGGCAACTCAAGGTAGATAGTTACTGACTGAGTTTGTTGAAAGTTGATAACAGTTGACCTGAGACTTGAAGAGATTAAGAATGGAGTGATCAAGGAATCATCCACTTTAGAGTTTGTTCCACAAAGTAGTGTTACTTTGGAAGATGTCCAAATAGATCTTCCTTTTTAACAATAGAAATTGAATAGAGAGGATGATTCAACCTTGTATACATGGCATGACGTGTCTTAGCTGTGAAGGTCTGAACTGGTGGAATTAAGGAATCTACCTTGTCAGAACATTTGCCATGGAAATAATGATAAAGTAGTGAGAGACATGCAACATTTTATCTGTAGAAAAGAGGTTGTAGAGAGGAAAATAATCCATCACTCACAAGGCTGTATAGATGCTTTTGAACTCTGTCATGTGAAGATTGAGTAACTCCAGCACAAACAGGGAAGTAATATTCTTTATCTGATCTAACTCTTGTAAAGATAGAGAGTGACATCAAGAACCAGATTCTTACTAATGTGGTACAAGGGACCTATCATTTTCACAGCCTCTTTGGTAATGGATCATATATAAAAGTTCCATTTGAGGTTTAGAGAGAACTTTAGTCCTAATAGAAGTTCAAAGCAAGTTGCCTAATTAAGAGTACAAACATTCATCATGATAGGAGAGAATTCAGGGTATGCATGTGGATGATGAAATGTTACTATCTTAGTTTTGAAGATATTTTGGGGTTCATTTGTAAAAAAGAACACTAAAATTCACATGCATGGCCTGAGAGTTTATGTCCGCGATCGTCTCCCGCTGACTCTTTGAAAGCTCCTGACCATTCATATATGTGTCTCCATCTATCTCTCCTCAATTCAGTAAGCTATCTCTTCTTTCTCTATCATTGCTCTTCCTCTCAAGACTGTGGTGTACTTGATAGCATTTCCAATAATATAGACAAGGCCATCTCTTTACATCTGTTTGCACACATATTCATGTTTGCTGACTTTAATGCCTATCATACCAAATGGCTTAAACACTCTCTAACTGACCTCACTAGCATACAAATGATTAACTCAATCACTCAATCCCTCATGCAAGTGGTTGACTTTCCTACCCATTTCCCCAATAACCCTGACAGTAAGGCTTCCCTTCTTGATCTCTGTTTTACCTCCATCCCTGACTCTTGTTGCACTATGCAGCGCTACCCTCTTGGTAACACTGATCATGCTGTAGTGCCTATTAACATCTTCTTCCACTCCACCTCCAGCCAAGAACCTCCTACTCACAGAATATCTTTCTTTTATTAATGCAAAGACTGGAAGTTAGAACTCTGAGTGGATTAGGCATTCAGAGTCTTAACTACTACAGCTTATAAGGCTGAATGCTTTGCTTGGAAATTCTCATCCAACTGAACACTCAACTCGTCTGGAGTACCCACACCTGATTTTCCCCCTAGAACAGTCTCTATTGAGTGAGATGAACATAAACCCATCAATGGCATTGGACATCATCTCTAAATTAGACTCTCATAAAGCAAGTGGTGATGATGGAATACTAGCTGTAGTCCTAAAGAAATGAGCTCTTGAGATGGCTCCAGTTCTCTCTAAACTATATAACTATTGTGTCACTGAATTTTGCTTTCCAGCCGGTTGGAAGTCCTCATCTATTGTCCCTGTCTTTAAGAACTCTGGAGACTTTTCTGATCTATCTAACCACCATCCTATCAGTATCCTACCATTCTTCAGCAAATTCTTCAAAGCCTTAATAAATGCTGAAGTGGTTAAGCATCTTACCTTCCATGATCTACTCTCTGACAAAATATATGGTTTCCACTTTGACCGGTCGACTGCTGATGTGCTTATGGCCATAACTGAATTTGTATATCAAGCTCTTGATAATAATGGCAAAGCTCAAGCTATGACTCTAGATATCTGAGTGGTATAAAGGACCTTTTTTTTCCAGCCTTTTTAGTGATGGATCATATATAAACTTCCAAAGGAGGCCTGGGGAAAACTTTAGTCCTAACAGCAAGGATCACCATTAAGCAAACAACCATTCACCATGATAGGAGAAAATTCAGGATTATGTTATATTCTATATTATGACTTCAATACTCCATTTTTGGTCTGATCTGACCCTTGTAAAGATAGATCTCTCATCTCTATCATTTGGCTTTGTATCATTAAATACACACTTGTTATTTCTATTATCAAAATTATTAAAATAAATTCTACAGTTTCAATACCTGATAGCACTGACATTTCACAACATTTATATTTTCAATATCTGTCTACATTGCTGAGATGAGGTATTGTAATTATTTACACTATTTACATTGTTGGTCTGTTGTCCTTGTCTTTGTTACAAAAATAGACATGAATATAATATGGAAACCAGTAATACAGAATGCTAGAGATAAACATTAATGACAACAAACTGTACTATGAGCTCTGGTAAAAAAAAATGAGGCATTAAGTTTATAAGTCCCCAAAATTCAAACACTGATATCCTCAAGGACACATTAACCAGTGGATAAAAGTGTTAGTTGAAGTAATCCAGTGACAAAAAATTGTGAGTTCAATACCTGGCTACAAGAGGTGATTAATCACTTCTTGTAGCCAGATATTGAACTCACAAATTGTGAGTTCAATATTTTTCGGTGGAACCTCATCTCTGTCACTTCATCTGTGAAGAAACTGTTCAATATTCATTGTCTTATAGGAGATAAGATATTACATAGCAATTCAGCACTCTTTTTTGGTTTTAAGGTCATTTTCCTGTCTCTTAATACCTTGCTCATTTTCTGAAAATCATCTTTTGCTATTTCTATAAACCTTCAAATCTCTGTGTCACACTTTCTGACATCTACAATTAATTTACCTTACTTTCTGACGTCTACAATTAATTTTATAGATAGATAGTAACTTTAATAATCATCTAATCCTTTTCTATTTCTTTCTTCTTTGTATCTCTGAGACCAACAACTGAATGGCATTGATTGCTAACAATTCAGCTATAGAACAATAAAAATGATCAATTTTTGCAAAGGAATAAGTCAAATTCACTTTGGCTGAATTAAGAGTACACACTGATAATTTAGTAAATTATTTCTAGCTGTCATGTAATCAACAAATTACTTAAATAAGTTCTTTTCAGTCGTCAAAAAATGAAAAGCAAAACTTAATCATAATAACAGAGTTCTTGTTGCCAAAAAGACTATGTAGAAGAAAAATTAAAGCAAAAAATGCTGGCAAGGTTTGAATTCTAAAATTTAGAAATAATCATGTATTTATTCCAACACCTATTCAGACAGTTGAAGTCAGATTTTGCATTGCTTATATTATTACCATGTTTCAACCAATCCATTCTACAGTCTTCCTCAGGCACAAAATCCATAAATAACTTGTTTTATTTTTTACAAAATTAATGAAAAGAAAATGGTATCTGGCTAATTTGATTTAAATCCCAAAAACCAAGTCCACATAAACAATATACCATTCACAATCATCAAGGTAACACATGATTATAATCTATATATAGGGGTAGTCAGCAATTCTCTTCATGATGAACAAAGAAACACACTGGCTTGACTTCCTTTGAAATTTCTCACTCTCCAGCAGTGTGCATTCTTGAATAATTGAACTTAAACCCATAGGGAGTCATTCTGTTCACAGTTGTGTGGAATGTGGGATCAGCAAGAGTTCAAATTCCCATATAGTCTGTTGCATTCACTTTCACACAAATTTAATTGGGGAAGGCATGGATTTATTTTTCTTCACCTTAGCTATTGGTTACAAGCAGAATAGAGCACTCTAGCCATGAGAGACAGCAAGACTAGGAGA